TGTAACTCTATTTAGAACTGCAACTGAGCAGCATAAACAGACTGCAGCCTCTGCATGAGCCAATTTTATACATTTCACTCTTGGAAAACTATCAGTCAAGCAAGAACTTTGATTAGTGGTTATATAATTTTCCCACTGAGTTCCATTTTTATACAAGGCAATAATGCTAAATAAGCAAAATATTCTTCTTCTGTACTCATACCAAGTAATTTAAGTACAAATTGTTCTGGCAATAAAGCATTCAATCAATAAGTGTTTTAAAACATAGCAATCAGTACATTCTCAGCCTACATGGCTGCTACGTCACACTGAACTATCATGTGGTTTTTATGGGTTTTGCTTTGCATGTTTTATGAACCCAGGCACTGTAGTTTGTTGGACAATGCATGGCTAAAACAAATCACGGCTTATTGTGATATGTTAATCTCAAAATGTGTCATTCTTAAGATATCACTGCAAACTATTCTACACTATACACAATAAGACCACATAAAGTGAATACATTTGAATAAGAAACTTTGTATCTCTGAAAAAGAATTATGTGCTATACACTGCATACACACACACACGGATGTATGTATGGATGTATGTGTGTGTATATATATATACATACATACAGACACACACACACACACACACACACAGAGCATTCTTAATTCAACTGGAAGTTTCATTATGATCACTTTCTCCAAAGCCTAAAATAGAATATGCTGTTCACTAGAACAGTTAGCCCATTGCCCAATAATTTACACTGTGTTCACAGTATCCAGTAATTAAAGTACTACTCCTGGAAGATTGACTTCTTCCTCCCTAACTTGAGGAGCAGATAGGGTAATTCATATCTGAACTGTTTTATATTGCTAATTAATTCAAATTATATTCTCTCTATATTACTGCAATATATAATCATGTCACACATTTTATTTTATTTCATTCAATGTAGGTACCTAACCGACTCTGGCGATACAAAATAGAGTCTGCTTAGTCTTTATTGAATGAAATATTAATAAAATAGTACCTTTCAAGTTGTAATTTCAAAACAATAACCCAGAAGTGAAGTGCTAATTGAATAGGTCACAGAATGAGATGCACATGCATTAGCTCCTTGTGGTAAATTCAAGACTACCTCACATGAAACACAGAAAAATAATTATTGGAGGCAGAAGAAGCAGATAAAGGTTTAGCAAGAAAAAGAGAAGGGGAAAGACTGCCATATTAAGGAAATGAAAGTAGTACTGTTTAATTAACTAATGGAACTGAGTAACCAGGTGGATTGTTTTCCACAATACATCCACTCTTATAAGGAATTAGTGACATGTTAGTAAATGCAGTGATCCTTGCAAGATATACCCCAGCTCATTTACAGTAGTAAAGAATTAAACCAGAGTTATTTGTACTTTGCCTTAGTAATAAAAGTAAGGGGAAGTTGCATGTAGTCACTGTATAGAAAGAAAGAAAGAAAGAAAGAAAGAAAGAAAGAAAGAAAGAAAGAAAGAAAGAAAGAAAGAAAGAAAGAAAGAAAGAAAGAAAGAAAGAAAGTTACAAATGTGTCTGAATCATACTTAAATCACTTTGAAACCTGAGCCTCCAATGGGATCATGTTAATTAAAACACGTAACTGCATGTAATGTTTCTAATTCATAATGTTTATTTCCAATAAAAAATAAGAACATTGCATTAGAAATATGAATCCTACACTTGAGTTCATTATGAATGAGAGCAACCTGGTTCGTACACTATTCTAAGCAATGGTTTGTTTATGAAGTCACAGTTGGCTGGTCTCACACATTACAATATTCCAAAACCAAGCAAATCCCATGGTGGCAATGTATGGATCCAGCCTAATCACTCTGTTAAGTCTAACAATTCTCAAATGTGTACAGCACAAAAACAGAATTATCTCCTATTTAAAATCACATCATTTTGACGAATACGTCTTATATTCATGTAACAATTGACCCGCATATTTAATGTTACAAATGTAGCTTTAAATTTTCTTCACTTTGTTTACTTTGAAAAAAAACACTTGGAATTGGAATTTGCCAGAATATGTTTCAGCCTTCAGAAAATAAGATGGTAAATAAAGTAAGTGGGCCTATTTGTTTAATTCAAGGTTCTGATGAGGTGGTACTTGCTTCAGTAAGAATAAGTACTTCCAATGAGAACTGCACTGTTTGGGCATAAAAACAGTGGAGGCTTGTTTTGTTTTACTTTATAACATCAGCATAATGACAACTAGTAATTGACATGCAGTCTAAGATTTGGTATTGTAGCTGAGCAGATCTGAATATGGAACTATCCCGATCCAGTTCAAGAAGCGACATTAAACATTAAAAAGGAAATATATAAGCAAGTCACACAGCACTTTTCTAACCTCCTGTTCTTTAATTTTTTTTTTTATGCTCAGCAGGTGTTAACCTCAGTAATGCCATATGCCTGTTTTGCTGAAATTCAGACCCCATTCCTCTTTCTACATGATTGAAAAAAGATATTCTCAATATACATGTATTACATATGACATGTACCTATTTGTCTCAGCTATATCTGCCATAACGGAAGGTCTATGTTTACCATCCAGCTTTAGCTGTTTCCACCTGTCTTGCCCCTGCTGCTAGAAAGAACAGTGAGACTCAGTGCCCCATTCATATAACCCAATGAACTGAGTCTACCTCTCCTTATATTTAAGCAATTATTAGGCAGCAGATGACCCAGTGAGGTATCCTAGCTATCTTTCTGTTGCACAGCATGTACAGCCCCGTTTTTACAGAGACATTCTGTGATTCCATCTCTAAGTCAGTCAACAGAGCCAGTGTTATAACACTCTCTAGAAGATTCATATAACACAGAAGGGTCTGATCAAGGTAAGATCTTCCATTGTTAATTAAAAATCAATCCAGATCAAGAAATTGCTGATTTTCTGTGTCTGCAAAATATGTTAAGCTCTACATATATTGGTACCTGCTATGTTGATCTAAGAAGCAAAATAATTCATCACAATTTCCTATATGCAATCATTAATATCATCACCAAGTTCCTTGCCTTGATATGTTAGTATAGTAAAGAATCCTATCACTCGAACTGAACTGCTAATATTAACATTTGCATGTTTGTGTATTCATTTTAAACATAAAAAAATGATTTAGCACAGTCCTATATTCCAAGATAAATTAAATAATAAGTGAGCAAGTACAAAACTTTTGGCCAGTTTCTAGTAAAAGAATATATGGATATTCACACCAAGAGATTAATTCTTATATCCTTCTCATTTTGAATGGGGGAGGATAGAGCTCTGTTCAGAACAAATCTTTCTGCCCAATAGTTCAAACCAAACAATTTTACCTGAATGTTATCTCATTCATCTCTCAAAAATGAATTCTTGAACAACAAAGTTTGGTTTATTTTCTTGTTCTTCAAGAAATGTTTTCTTGTCTAAATCTACTACAGATTCTTAATTAATTAGGTAGCAACGTATTGATCACCTTTACTCTAGTTTACTAATAAAATCAAAGAAAAAGTTGTTTTCATTCTGTGTGCATGAATGTGGGTACAATAGTATGCCAAGTTCAAAACTATTTGGTGTGAAATAACTTCTGTACTTTTTTATCAATAAAGAAAACTTCTCTCTTTCAAAGGCTTTATTGTTCCTCATGAGAATAAATAAGATACTATTGTAAGTTGCAATGCCTAGGGTAAAATGATCCTTGTAGCCAGGAATATAATTACATGTGTTAAGAATTGCTTCTTTTTCAGTGCTCTGAGCCACAAATGTAAGACTATTCTAGTAATTTGAATACATCAAGAAGCAAATTTGTCTTTGATTTTAAGTTTTGCAACCATTACAGAAAACAGTTCTGTAGAATAAAATATGAATCACTCAGTCAGGTATGTGAATAATACAATCAAGTATCTTTCTGTCCCAACAAAGCTACAGGCCACATTAAAGCTTTAGGCAGGACAAACCAGCTGATTGAAAGCAACAGATTCAATACTGCTATTACAGACAACAAATTATTTAGAGCATGTATTATTATATTTGTTAATCACTGGGAAAGACTACAAAAACCAGGAGGACTGTTTTCCAACTAACACATTTTATTAAAAGTATACCTTTCCATGAACTGCAGTTTGCTTCACCAGATGCATGGAGTGGTTGAACTAATATATATTATTTCATTTGGGACAAGGTGGGGTGAGTGGAGGCAGGGTGGGTAGATGGAAGGGAGGGAAGAGAAGTTGCTTATGCAGGTGCAAGTTACATGTGAGACAGATCAGAAGTACCTTCTCAGTTGACAATTGTTATGTGTTAAAAGCCTGCTGTATTTGTTGAGGTTTTGAGATTACAATATTCTTCAGATTTTCTGCTTAGGCACCATAACAACTAGGCTACTTCGATTCAATATAGCAGGTTGGATATGTGTGTGCCCCTGTGCATGCCTTCAAGTCAATCTTGACTCTGGATGACTACACAGACAGGTCCACGCAGTTTTCTTGGTAACATTTTTGGAAGCATCTTACCAATACCTTCTTGCTATTGGCCCAAAGTGACCCAGCTGGCTTCTGTGCCTAACTAAGCACAGTTCTCCCATCCTAGTAAAGCTGAAATGCTAGATGTTACATTGACAACACACACATATATGACATTTGGAATAAAGAAGACAGAAATCTACATGGAGGTACAAGTTACAAGGAATTAAGCTCCACTTGAGGAAAACTTGATTTTATGGATATCAAAAAATACAGCGCACAACATTAATGGAAACCCCAAAGACTGTAATCCTCATCTACTGAAAAGTAGATTGTTGCGCTTAAACCGAACAGATTTCTGACACCTCCTAAGGAGCACTCAGTTTAGTTGCCTTGTTTTAACATAACCTGAACATGAACGCTGAAAGATGGACCTCTACGTGACAGCAGTTGAAGAGCAGGGAAAACTAACAGCTGGGTGGGCCCTGATGATAAAGCGGGAAGGGAAGGGAAGGGGCACATCAGCAGTCACGTACCTCGGCCGGGGCAATGCGGAACGCCTCGGCTATCTTAGCGTAAAGCTCCTTCACGCTGCCAAAACCTTCCACGCGCCCAGTGGGGCTGCCGTGCGCCAGCTGCGTGTGAAAAACCAACCGGACGGGCCCCTGCGGTGCTGTGGCGCCTACCGCCCCGGCATGAGCGCCAGCGCCTGCCCCGACCTCGTCGTCGCCTCGCCCTCGCGCTAGGGGAGCCTCGCCGTCCACCAGCGTCGAAGTCTCCTTGGACTTGCCTTTCTTCTTTCTCCTCAGCCGCAGAGGCATCTTCCCGGCCCGCCCACCTCAAGACAGCGGCCAGAAGCACCTGTTGCGGTGGTAGTGGCGGCGGCGCGATTGCTTTTTCCCACTTGGCCGAACTCTGCCCGCTCAGGCCGCGAGCTCACAGCTCACTTCCCCGTTTAGCCATCACCCGGCAGGTAGGCTAAGCAGGCGGCAGCCAATGGGCGGCGGCGCTTTTGGCCCGGGAACAACTTCGCGCCCGACACCTGGGTTTCTCTTTTCCTCTTCGGCGCTGTTGTGTCAGCCGGTAAGATGTAAAGGATCGCCAGCAAAGACCCTGTTTCATAAGATTTTATTCACTGATTTTGTTTACTTAAATCGATTTATATGGCTGCCCATCTCCCGAATTCGACTCTGGGCAGCTAACGAAGATTAAAAAATACAATACGAATACAGTATTTTAAAAAAATACATATTAAGGCCAACTAAAACACAGAGTGGCTCCTGAAGACACCATACACCGACAATTGGGCTCAATTACTCCCCCGATCCCCATGTCCAGGAAAACACCCAGGTCTTCAAGGCTTGTTGGAAAAGGCACACTCCCTGGGTCCCATTGGATGACAGTCCCTGACCCACAGAACCCAGAGCATGCCCCTCTTGCCCCACCTAGTGGGATGGGTAGAAAGAGTGGGGTAAGCCAGTCCCTCAAATACCCTGGTCCCATGCCATGTAGGGCTTTATATATTATAAACAGCACCCTGAATTACACCCAGAAGCAAAGATTGGCAACCACCCTTAATTTAAGTGCACCTACTGCTTTATTCAGAAGTAAATTATTGGAATTGAATTTATTTGGATGGCTGCTTCCTCAGTCCTTTTGGGATTAAATTTCATAGAAATCAAAGAGAAACAGAAAGTCTTACCCTTCTTAAAAACAGATTTATAGTAGCATAAAACAGAGCTGTAGTTCAATACCTGAGTTTTACTATGATTTTCAAGAAACATATATAAGGTTTGGGATGTAGTTATGTTAATGTTAAACTTATAGCAAAACAACATTTTACTGCTTCTAGTGCAAATCTGTGGATGACTGCCTCTTTTGCGTTCTCTTCAGACAGAGAAGACTTTTAGATGAGGTTGTTATTCTGCAATTGTCTTTTCTGATTCATAAAATGGAGGGGGGAGGCAGAAGTGAAGTTTATCTTCCTGTGTTTTGTTTAACTATCTGTTAAGAAAGAAGAGATGGAATAATTGCACAATGTAACTTGATATCCAGAAGCAGTGACTTAAGTACAAGATTAATTCTCAGCAAAATGAGAAATTCTCTGTCAGTGAATCAGTAATAAAGAATGATATAGCTAAATTTATAATCAGCAGACCAGTGATGCACAATAAAAATGCTCCCAAAAGCCTTGGCTATAGTTCCTAAAGACTTCCAAAAAACCTTACCATTCTGTTGCAATTTTTAATGCAATGGAGTGAGGAAATTGTTCAGTACATTACTAAAGGGTAATCATATGAAACATACTTCATTTGAATTAAATGTAAATGAAATCAAATTTAAGTTTTGTCCCAGGGTATCTGTCACTTTTGAGACTGTACTCCCCAATAGGCCAAAGACTAAATGCAACACTATGACCAAAAAAGGTTCACAATCCTGGGTAAAGGCAGAAGCTCAGAGGAAAAGGAGCAAACTGTGAATTAGTCAAAGAGGTTCAGGCAACAAGACAGTAAAATTCAAAAATTCCTTATTGATACATAGGAACAACTGTTACTTTCCTCTGAACCTACAGAAACAGATTTCAGCCATATGAGTAAGGTACTTAGGATCTGCAAAACTTAGTTCTGCAGGCAGAATATTCTGGGGAACATTGGAATGTTCCACTTTTCCTTCTGAATTACACTGATGCGGCTTTTCTTGGTTTAATCCAGTAATCTTCCCAGCAAGAGCTGGTGTGGTCCAAAAGAAAAATTAAATATTCCAGGGTTCCATGGAATATTCCATTCCCAGAATGTTGGTTTACACATTTCTGCTAGTTACTGTGCACTATTGCTGTTTCCTATTCAATAGTTTCCAATTTTAATAAAGTATTTTATCATCTATTTTTATTAATCAGATTTGTAAGGCAGTCACCATTGCCTCACCTAGCCCTGGAGTTTGCCCACTGTGCCAGATATGGTGGGATGGACAGAAACCACTGGGGAAAGGCAGACCTGCAAGTAACCTGGCCCCAGGCCATTTAGGGCTTTAAAGGTGACAACCAACACCTTGAATTGCACCCAGGAATTTCCTGAAAGCCAATGCAGCTCATATAGCAGCAGTGTTATGTAGGTGTACCATGGTGCACCCAATGCTGCACATGCTGCTGCATTCTGGACCACCTGAAGCTTCTGAATGCTTTTCAAGAGCAACCTTATGTAGAGTGCATTGCAACAGTCCAATAAGGAGGTAACTAAGGCATAAGTGACCATGATCAGTGCCTCCAGATGTAGGAATGAATGCAACTGGCACACATGATGTATTTGTGCAAAGGCCCTCCTGGCCACAACTACCACTTGCTCCTTGAGCAGAAGCCATGAGTCCAGGAGGACCCTGAGATTGCACACCAACTCTGCCTGGAGAAATGTAGCCCCATTCAGAGTTAGTGCTGAAAAATTACTAAATACCTGTGGCCCTAAAACCCATAGCCACTAGTCTTGTCAGGGTTGAGTCAAAGCCAGTTCCTCCCCATCCAGATCCACACAGTCTCCAGGCCTTGGATGGCAAGGGGCAGAGATGTACAACTAAGTGTCATCAGCATACTGATGAAACTTCACCCTGTGCTGATAGATAACCTCACTCAGTGGTTTCATGAGGATGTTAAATAGGAGCAGGGAGAGAATCAAGCCCTATGGCATCCCACACATCAGAGGCCTAGTACTGGACTTCATCCCCCCCAACCCCAACCAGAACTGGGCATGGAGAAAGGACAATTGCTGAAGAACATGCCTCCTACTCCCAACCTCCTCAACTGGTCCAGAAGGATACCATGATCAATGATACTGAAAGCTGCAAGGGCCATGATGGATACACTACCCCCATCCCAGGGCTGCCAGAGGTCATCCAGAAGTGTGATCAATCCTGTCTTGATGCTATAGCCCAGCCTGAATTCAGAATGCAGTCCAGATAATCTGCTTCCTCCAGGGCCCTTTGAAGCTGTAGCCCTACCATCTTCTTGACAACCTTTCCTTTTTAGGAGACTAGGCAAAACTTGTCCAATACAGCTGAGTCCAGCAATGGTCTCTTGAGGAGGGAATGGACCACTGCCTCTTTCAAGGCAGGTGAAACCAACCCCTCCCACAGAACCCAGCCACGAGCCCGCCCAGGAGGCCCTAGCCAGCCAGGAGGGGCATGGGCTGAGCATCACAAGAACCCTGTCTACTTCCTTGGGAGTAACCAGATCAAACTCAGCCCAGATAACTGGACAAGACTGTACCCCATCATCTCCACAGGACCAGCTAGAGTCTGTCAGATGCTAAGCATAATCCTCACAACGACCCTGCAATATAGACCCTGCTCTATACTGCACTGGTCAGACTGCACTTGGAATACTATGTCCAGTTCTGGTTGCCACAATACAAAAAGGAAACTGAGGAACTGGAAAAAGAACAGAGTGGAGCAACAAAGAAGATAAGGGGTGTGAAGGCTAAATCCTACAAAGAATAGTTAAAGAAATTTGGTATGTTTAGCCTAAAGAAGATAAGGCTAAGGGGAAACTTGATTGCAGTCTTCCAATAATGAAGAGGTGTCACAGGGCAGGGGGTGTAGGTTTATTCTCCATAGCGCCCAAGTATAAGACAAGAACCAATGGATGGAAAGTTTATAGAGGAAGATCCAAACTTGAAATGGGGAATTTCTTGACTGTGAGAGCTATTATGCAGTGGAACACCCAGCCTCCTGTCAGGGTGGTCTATCACTGGAGGTTTTGAAGAAAAGATTGGACAGCCATTTGTCTAAGGTGGTCTGAGGATTCCTGCCCTGGATAGGGGATTGGACTAGAAGACCTCCAAGGTCCCTTCCAACCCCATGATTCTATGAAATAAGTATTCCATCACAAAAAGTTCAGAGGCAACTTAGATCTAGACAGTAGCCAATTTCTAACAAAGTTCACCACAATAAAGCATCTTATAATGGAAATAAATTTACAGGAAATAAGTTACTTATTTTAGAAGCATGCAGCTAAAAAAAGACATCAGTTTACATTTTGAAATGGAAGATTTTAACTTGGAGATTTATCCTCTTCTAGGATTTATTTCACAGAAATAAAGCTAAACATACTTTAAAAGCCCTGATGGTATTAATAAACTGACTTACAACATCACAATAAAAAATGCCTTAAGTACAGAAGTATACTTAAGTATATAACACTATGGAAACATGGTTTCTTGCCAATATTTATGTACTGAAATTATTTATACTGACAGTTTAGGATATTGTGATAAATTATAAAAAAGGTTAACAGTTCTTTACAAAATTCCCAAACGTTTCATATTCCAGTTTCCCTCACCTCTGAAAACAATTATTAGCCCAGGTTTTATACTTTGCAAAACATGTGGCAGGGATTTTCAAACATGATCTGTGGATCACCTGTGGTCTGTGAAGGTCCCCAGATGTTTCACGAAGCCTCTCCATGTTCAGCATCAATCAGCTGACTGGACCTGACTCCACCTGCCACCTCATACCCTGCCTCCCCCCATTCACCACTAGTCAGCTGAGTTGCAGAAATCAATCAGAGGCTGAAAACCAATTCATTGAAGTGTAATCATAATAGTACTAAAATTAAGAAAATGGACAACAATCAACAAATTTCATGTGCACTTATCAAATGGAATTCCACACGTATTGTGCTAATTGAACTCTAATCTTGTACAAATAACCTAAAAAGAAAACTGTAAGCAGGAAATATAATAATGAATACTTAAAAATGAGACTTCATTGGACAGGAGATTCAGTTGACCCTAGTCCTTTGGTTTCTGTTAAAAAACATTCCTAATTAGCAAGTTTGAATAAGAGTTGTTGTTATAATGGCATGAAGTACATAAAATAATTCAAGTGGTAAATAAATACTTAACTTTGAGTTCTTTCTTTTATACAAAATTTTGTTTTAATAGAGCTTAAAAATACAGGAGATAGGAAGGTATATACAAATGCAACTACAATCACAATCTTACTCAGCAAAAAATCTGAACTCCCATGATCTTAAAAGTGAAACTGTAAGAAGGTATTTGTTTAACTGGATAGTCCCCATATTTTCCAAATGTTCATTTAGTGATTCAGAAATGTTGGGATCCTGTTTGAAGGCTACCAGACCTCAGTTGGAAAAATCCAGACCACCTCTAGCCAGTAGATGTAGAGAAAAGTCTCTTTGTTGCTATCTAATAGTATTCTGAAGTTTTACAGCTCAGTGTTAATTGTCTTAACACTGAATGCTGTAAAAGAATCAGCATAATGATTAAGGTTTTTATACTGCTATCAAGGCGCAAAGGACTTTAGAATGGAAAAAAATTAGATCTGATTCCCTACCCAGGGTAGGTTATCGTGCATAATCTGTCATGAGGAAGCGGAGGGAAATGAAGCCCAAAAGATAGAATGTATCTACTATTGTTCATGGTACAGATGTCAGGCTTAATTACAGCCCAATATACAATAATGTTAAAGTAGGATAATTTTTGGACAGTAATCAGGTAAGTCATGAAAATAAAGTGGGAAGGAGGGTGTACCAACCTGCTCTTTTTAGATGAACAGGAAAAATTAGTTGAAGTAGAGTAGCAGGAACATTGGGGGGAAAGGACAGTGCAACACTGGCATTCTTGACTAAGTGTAGACAAGTATAGAGTAATAATAGAATCCCACAGCAGGAGAGGTTGATGGGAAAAGAAGCTCAATGTGGTTGAAAGTTTCTAAAGAAGATATTAAAAGCACAACTGCAAATACTTCTAATGAGGAAGAAAAATGGAAGACAGTGAAAAGAAGACAATTACCTTTACAAAAATCTAAGTGAAGATCTGAAAACAAAACAGAAACATACAAAAAATAAAAAGGAGTCAGGTTACAATGAAAGAATATAAGCAGAATGGACTACTACTACTATTTGACAGTTCTTCATATAAACCAATTACATCTCCTTTGACTTCAGTAAGGATTGTTTTTAAAACTTGTCATTTAATCATAAATTGTCTGTGTTA